GGGGTCCTAGGAAGGCGTTGACCTAGCGCTCTAGCCTCTCATAATTGAAGCCGAGGAGCTAGTCGCTCCTGAGGGCATGGGCCTCCAGGGCGTGCAGCTGTAGCTCCTCGAGGGCCTCGACGGTTGCATCGAGGCTAGTGGAGCGAAGAAGTTGGACGGGGGCGGGAGCTCACGCTAGCTCTCCCTCCATGGTGATGAAGAAATCTAGGCTCCCGAAGTGCATATGCGCGCCCGGGACCCAACTAACGTCGTGACTAGCCATCCATGGCCTATTGTGGACGATGAGATGCGCAAAAGGCCCCTACCTGGCATGCCAACTGTCGGTGTTTCGAACCGACAACTAGTAAATTTGTGTTTGCACGTCTGGCCCGGATGGTGTGCTCAGAGGACACAATGGTTTATACAGATTCGGGCGGAATGTCCCTACGTCTAATTTGAGGCTACTCGTGTTACCGACACTTGTTTGTAGTAGGGGTTACAAACGAGCGAGAGAGGGAGAAGGTCCCAAGTCTCTGATGGAAGGATCGAATGGAGTTGAGTCTAGTTGAACTCAGTCCACCATTCAGTGTCGTTGTTGCGTGTAGGCGTGTAGGTGTCTAAGCATTTGAGTGTCTTAGTGTGTTTTGTCGTGCCCCTCAAGGGGCGTTCTGCTTTCCCTTTTATAGATGAAGGGGATGGCACAGGTTACATGAGACGAGAGAGAGAGAGAGGAAAGCCAGGAGTTAGAAGGCCTTTGGGGTCACGTCACCCTTCATCCCCTTTATGCGGGTCCCACCGGTCCTATAGATGATGATAGGGATGGCTCCACGTCATGACCCTGTTCATCACTGGCGTCGTACGCAAGCGTTCTCAGCCGGTTGTGGTGCTCCATTCCATCTTGGTGGGCGACATGGTTAGCAAGTACCCCATCAGAAGTCATACGAGGATTAGGTAGCATAGCGCCAGCACGCCTGACACTGTTGGCGACATGAGTCCTCAGATATGGCCCGTCATGGCCGTGGGTCACATCGAGACACGCCTACTCCCTTTCTGGTGTCAAAAGTTTGACCCTGGGTTCGTACTCTTAGACCTGTAGTGGTTGGAGGCGGCACGGACCCCCGTCGGGCGAGGCGGAATCCCCCTGCCAGGGGTCTGGCGAGACGAATTCTGCGTCCGAGGGGTCGGGCGAGACGGAGCCCGCGCCCTAGGGGTCGGGTGGGACGGAGCCCACGCCCTCGGGATCGAGCGACACGGAGCCCGCACCCTCGGGGTCGGGCGAGACGGAGCTCGTACCTTCGGGGTCAGGCGAGATCAAAATACGCTCTTGACCATCCGGGCAAGTCAGCGTTCACGGTCATCAGCTTCCTTCTTCTAAACATCCCTAATAATGATACCCGATATTTTTTAACAAGCATACACCTAAATAATCTATAATTAAGTTATACATGATCCAATGAGTATGAAATTTTTACTACTATTCAAGAATACAATAGTTAGCCCACCATAAAAATGTTACCACAATTGGACCATAGAACTGCAGCTATGAATTAATTATAGAAAAGCATAGATCTAAAGTTACAGCAACAAAATTATACTAAAACATACCATATTATATGTTCACTGTGTAGATCTACTCATGTGAAGTCCAACAAAATTTGAGTTTCCATTTTGTGATTTTTCTATGATTTACTATGATTTTTCAAAAATTCAGCCGAAATAAATAAAAAAAAAAAAGACAAAACCGCCTTTGAAAAATCGCTTATAACCAGTCAGGGAGGTAAAACAAGTTAGGAGGAAAAGTAGACTTTCGCAAAAATTGAGATAGGTAATGTGGACTTTTTTCAAAAGAAAAACAATGCAAAAAAAATGAAATGGCGGGATGGGCAAATTTAAGGACAACGCTTCATTAATTACAATGGTAGGCTAATCTTTGTAACTGAGGACTGTTATATACATTAAGAATGTGTTGGGTAGGAATATGAATTCTGTTAGAAATGTTTCATATTCAGATTCTCTCATGCAATATTTTTGTAATGATTAAGGATCATTTTATAAGAGTGTTTGGTTGGTAAACTAGATTCTTTTTTTCAAAAAAAAAATATTTTTTACAAAAAACATATAAATGTGAATATCCTTAAAAAATTCAGAATGTTTTCTGCATGAAGATAACTTAAATACAACTCATTTTATATTAACTTGTTACATTTTAAAAGAATACTTAAAAATAATACGACCTCTAGTGCTGAGGATAGGCAGGAAACAAAATTGGGGAAACCGCTCTGAGGCCATTTCACGTGCGTATACAAGAAAGTGAAAATACGTCTCTAGCGAGAATCACTTCAGCAACTTCCAGTTTAGTAGCCGAAAGGATCAGATAGCCAAGAGGTTGTTGAATTGGGCAAACTATTTTTTTTTTTTGCAAAATTAAATCATATTGCCAAATTCAGCTATTGTGCCTAAACAAATGTTCTATACCTATCGCACAAAGTTTTACACCATACGTTCCAACCCAACACTAATATGTCAATTTAGGAATGTAAATTGCAGAAAGTAAATGCAAAATGTAAATAAGGTTAGGAATATGGTGTTTTTCCCCGATGTATCTAAGAGTCGACACTCTCTACTAGTTCTTGTTGGAGCACATACGTAAGGGTCTAGCTATCCCTTGATCTACGCATGGACCAAATGCTCCCCAGTGGTTGATTTTTCTCCATTCCAAAATGGTGGATTACCACAGCCGTGAACACTTTCTTAGGCCTCTCATAATCGGCACAGAGAGATAACCAAGAATCAAAACACCGCCAAATTGTCTAGGTGATGTCAGTTACCAAGAGTAATAAGCATAGACTTTCACTTGGCATAACTAAGAATAATGAGAAGAGTGGATGCATACTTTTTACTCTCTGAGTACTAATATATTCCTTAATCTAAAATTAAAATATTCTAATCACTCAAAGATACCAAATTTCTCTCTTGGACCCAAATATGAGTACGTATCTGTCATGTCTTCCAAGTGATCTCAAATGGATGAGAGGATGAAGTATATATAGTACATGCACAAAAAAACTAGCCGTTGGAACTCAACTCTCCGAATTAACAAACACCATATTTCTTCGATACAACCTCTCTGGATTGCTTGCATTCTTTTCTCTAGTGATTTCTCTAGTGCACACAGTAGTGAATTCCAGTGACCGCTTCGTCCACCCGACAAACTGTACGTGAACACTATTGCATTTGTCCGATGCACACCAGAAGTATGCCTTGGCAGAGTTCGACAAACCCTAGTTCTTGTCAAAGAGCTCCGATGCATATAAAACACCCCCAAACTCTTCCAATTCAAATCCTTTGTGTTTGGATTTAGGTTCCTTGTATCCTTGGGCTTCATCTGAGTTACCTAGTGCTAACTTTCACAATTGTAGACCATATCTACTCACTGTACTCAACTAGGTCAAGCTACCTGTTCATATCCCTCTTCATAGTACAACCAAAGGAGAAAATAAGAACCTAAACTACTCTAAGTGTCTCTCAACACCAAATGACACTTAGAATTAGCACTACTCGAAACCAAAATTTCCCCGATGGTGCAATTATGACTGAGGAAAATGATTTACTGACAAGAAAATAAAAAACCATTTTTCTTAACAGTAACCCAATAGGAAATAACCGACATAGATAGAGCAATAGGAAAATAAATAATTTTCTGATGGCCCTTGTCAGAAGCTATTTCCTTATCAATATATAGCCGATAGGAAAATATAAAGTCGACAAATCTAGAAATCTACCTCTGTCGTCGGAAACCAACAAACAAAATGATCTGCGCCGTCAGAAAAGGCATTTACCTGACACTTAGGTACCATCAAGACAAATTAAAAAATTTCTTGAAAGTATTTATACCATCGAAACAACTTGTATTTTCATTGTCGGTGCGTGTTGTTCTCTTTCATTCTGGCACCATAAAAAATCTTATCATAATTACTAATGTCAAAACAAATAATATTAAATAGGGACGATGAATCAGGAGGGGGGCAGGGACTGAACAGAGTGCATGAGATTCGTCATGGGATCCTTTACCTCCTTCACCATAAGCTCCTCGAGTCGTGGCTCCTTTGTCACGGGCTCCTCTATATCCTGCCTCCTATAAAACTAGATCTGAGGGATGCCACCGACATAGATGGACTTAGGGGCACCGACCTTAAACTGACCAAGGCAACATGGACCTCCAATCGGCCGCCTCAGACTAGGCCAAGGTAGTAGGAACTTTTTGAATGGGGGCACACCTTCAAAATGGGCTAGTGGTGGAGGGAGGCAGCGATGGGAGCACGGGCAATGCTATGCGCCGAAGAGGGAAGGGGATTATTGTGCAGACTTTGTTTGGGAGAGGTGACTAGTGAGGCGGTGCGGCGTCTAAGCGTGTCCAGGAATGGGAGGGGTGCAGTGAGGCAGTTGAGAGGACGGTGGTGGTGGGGGACGGGAGGGGTATAGCGGTGTGCGTTGTTGGAGATGGGTGATGGGAGATGAGAACAGAGGAGGGGTGAGGCACAGGTGGGCCGCACTAGGTGTTTCGGGCATGGGTTGTTTGACCGAACTTTGCCACTTTGTTCCTAGGAGTTTTGTGTGGATTTGGGTTTTTGCACAACAAATTCGTGTGGGGGGTTTTGGGTCACCAAATTTGGCATCTGCGCGCGTGTGTGGCTTGTTAATTTTGTTTGGCTCGGTCCAATTTTCATGTGATTTATCTTGACAATGATTGAAAAAAAATGAAAATCCGACAAGATAATTCAAGCTCAGGCATAAAACACTCCTCAATCGAATTAAACCAATCGTGGATTCCATCCATGTGAATATTGTAATTGAAATTGTCAACACATATATACTTTCTCTCCGATTGCACTCAAAAAATAATTAATCCAACAAACGAATAATGAATATGAAGTGGCCAATGCAAAAGAAACAAGCAAAGCACCCTGGTTCATTCGTTCCTTCCCTTAAACTTTATTTATTTCCTTCGATTCTCCCTTGCCTCATATCCGTGCCACGTTGCCGTGGCGCTCCACCGGGACGCCGGATCCGTGACTTCCCCCGTGGATCGCGAGCACGTAGAAGAACTGCGTCACTGTTAGGATGATGGTGAAGGTCTCCATGGTGCCCTGACATGACACAAATTAACATATATAATTACAGCTAGGATCAATATATAATGTACTGTATTAATTATAAGATGATGGAGATGCATGCGTGGATGTATCCGATCCTACTACATACTACCTCCGTCAGGAAAAAATACAACTATGGGTTACGTGCCACGAAAAGTGGTTCACGTTTGACCAAGTTTTTATTGAATAATATTCGTAGTTATGTCTTTAAATTAATTTATTAAAAAAATACATTTCGTAATTAATATGATGGTTTTTATTTGGTATCATAAACATGGATACTTTTTTCTATAATTGGTCAAACCTAAGGTCCTAAAACATGACAATGTGCTAGAATTGTATTTGGGGTGAGGGGCGGAGATAGTACCAGCTTGGCGTTTCTTCGGTCGAAAGAGATTTCATGACAAGCTAGCCTGCAATTAAATCATATACATGCATGAGCATGATGATGATGATGATGATCAAATAATAACATACAGTATATGTATAATACCAACAGACAAGATGGAGAGACGATCGACATACCCCATGGCTAGGACTGTGAGTGCCCACGCAAGGAGGCCCAACGCCGCGGCGGGCTGCAGGCTGTGGTAGTTCCAGAAGCGGAGGTGGTTGAAGCCCACGATGGCGGAGGCGATCCCGACGACGCCGGCAAGGAGGGAGAAGAGGACGAAGAAGCCGGTTGCGAAGTTGCCGATGGGGAAGAAAATGGGGTGGAAATGCGCGGGAAGCCGCAGCTCGGGGGCGATGATGAAGCCGCGGTCGATGGCGACGTTGAGCGCCCACCCGCCGATGATGGCCAGGATGACGTACATGCTCAGGTTCAGCAGTAGCAGCAGCAACGCCACGGGCTTGAGGTTCTCGGCCATGTCGCTAGCTAGCTGTCGTCGCCTGTCGGATCGATGGATCGCCCGGCCTCGATCCTGCTGCTGCGTTCTCGACGATCGATCTTGTTCCTACAAGCTAAGTACTACTGGCCGGCCGGCTTGTATACACGGATCAATCGATGATATATGGACGGACGGGCAGGCGCTTAGTTGCTAGCTAGATGCTTGTCTCCGACTATCCTTAATTTGTTGTTTGCATTGCTTGCTCTGGCCACATATACTATACGTACCTCTCGATGTCACGAAAGGAATAATTGAACAATAAGTAATATAAGGAGATGAGTATAGTGTGTGTATATATATGGAGAATATATTCAGTAGTCAGCTACAAAATAAGTTATTCTGTATCATCTTCATTTACGATAATGTTAATACATATTTACGATAATTGGGTTAGTAAACCACTTAACAATGAATTACTATAATATCATAAATTAAAATAGTAATTATCATAATTTAAAGTGACTACAGAATAAGTTATTTTGTAGCCAGCGTCTATATATATATATATATATATATAATAACTCGATCGGGACGCGCGACGGGCAAGGCATGGATCGATGGCCTGCTGGTGGGTAGATCTCGATCTGGCTGTAAAGCGAGGCCAGGAAGACGCATTGCTTGGGTCGGGGCGTACTGCAGATCGATCCCATGCGTCGTCGTGGCTGCTCCATGTATCAACATATATTTAATTTGCTTTGTTTTTTGGATTGCATAATTGCATTGCTTGGGGTCGGGCGTTTGGGATTGGATCGACGTGCAGGTCAAGCAAAGGATCCGCGGATCGGACGACGGAGCCCATCGATGATCAATATAATCACCTTTAATTTTATTTAATACTCCATTCATCAACTTGTTTGGCGTAAATTATACACTAGCTAATGTATACTACGTACTACTGTAATAACAGCTACAACTAGTACCTATATATAGGTAGACGTACGTAGCTGGATCATCGATCGCGTTATATTATATATTAACTCCGTGGTTGATTTTGATTTGACGTTGGATCCATCGATATGTCAGCGGCAATGTATTTGATGAACCGTACGTACGTACGATTATTCCTTTTAATTTCCATGCATGCATGCATGGGCGCGGCAACCCAAACCTACTACTGCTAGTCTGCTACTGCTACTATGGAGAACAAATAAACAAGGAACAAAATAAAATAAGCACGCACCTGCTACCAATATAATCTTTGCTTTTCTCGTCTTGCTTGTTTTTGCCGCTACTATTACTAATACTACTAGGAGCAGTATGCATGCATGTAACACTTGCTACTACTTATTTGCATTGAATATTGATTTGCTGGCCATATATATGGCCAGTCGTCGTCATTGGCATGCTTGGCAGCCGCAAGCATCACGCCATGCATGGCATGCCCGGCCCGAGAGAATCGAAGCACCTAGCTGTATACCTACTCCAGAAGGCAGAAGAAAAGAAAGCCATATGTGTGGTGCCCGACCGATCGATGCACGCATGCTGTATCGTACGTTGCTTGTCCACGCACGTCGTACATTATAGTTAGCGAGGTTACTGCGCAAGCTAACTTGCTCCAATGTAATAGAGAATGCATGCATTCAATTACTCCTAGGTAAGGTTATATTATCAACCCTGACTAAGCTAGAGTAATTATTGCTAACAAAATAAAGTGCGTGGCTGTGGCCGAGGAAAAGAAATCCATTCCAAGCATTCCAAATTGTAAGAGATTTACGTTTTTTCCTAGCTTTTATTACTATCTGTCTAGATATAATATATATAGATACGTAGCAAAAGCTATATATATTTTTAAAAAGACAGAACGTCTTACAATTTAGAATGTTTCGAATGGAGACCAATGTCGCAGAACCGACAAATTTATAAGAATACAAGTACAATAGCGGCCCGCAAGCAGTCACACTATCGTACTTGAGCCCATATAAACCCGGTAGTCTGTCGAGTACCACGACGGGTCTCGATAAACGATCGACAACAACCAAGATCGTACATGATTCAACATATATGTCACATATTACATAAAGTTCACAGATACATTTTCATCATCAGAGTATGAAACACAGTTATTACAAACCAAGTTGGTAGATAAAAGCGGAAGCAAATTAAGCTTGAAAGTAAAGGTTCCAACATAGTTTAATACAGTGTCAAAATACGATCACGGTCCACAAAAGCATGTAGAAGGATTAATAAGAAGCCTGCCCAAGGCTTACTCCTCATCCACAGCGGGATAGAAGCAACTCTTGCAATAACCATGACACACAGTGCCATCTGCAACTGGAAAATAAAACCCTGAGTACGAGAAGGTACTCAGCTAGACTTACCCGTCATAAACCAGAAATAATTCGACTCCAAGGATTATGCAAGGCTGTATAAGTGGGGATAGCTTGACAATATTTTACATAAAAGCGATTAACTTAGTTATACAATTATGGTTCCAATATCAGGTTAATTATAACTATCCATCTCTAGATTAGCAACTATCGTGTGCCAAACATGTGGTATATCCATTTAAAAGCATACAATAGTAACCATAGCAGGTATTGTAATTCCATATTCATCCGAACCATCATGTTCCATAAAACAGTTACTACAATGTTGGAGCTAGACAAGTTTCTCACTATCCGGGAGAGACGGCGATTCGAATCGATTTCAACCAGCTGGTAATTTATTCCTAACACAAATCCAGGCATACCGCGCGAAGGCAGCCTTAGGTCACCTTTGGTACAACTCAGGTACACATTTCGCAGGTCCGTACCGCGCCGTACAATCTGGGACACCAGATGCCAGGACGTTCAGGCCTGCCTGCCCTTGGGCTCAGTCTGATCGCCCCCCGCAAGGAGCGCACAACAGAATGGGGCCCGGCCTGAGTTGAGCTACTCGGCTTCGCGGTCGGAACGAGTTATCCGGCCAACTAAGTGATAGGCATGCGTTCAATCTTGTCAGAAGTTCCAACAATGGTATGATCCTTGATCGGCACAGACAGAATCTCATGAGTCATCCTACGCATAGACTCCGCCCGGTCTCGATTTTCTTTTACCCCATGGTTCTGTTCCACGATAGCAAATATAGCCAACCGTGCTCCGGTATCCACCTATATCTCGCAGGTGATAGGAAATCACCCGAATTCTACCGGTCTAAGCATGGCTAAGCATATATTCGATCATGGACCTATACCGGTTAAAGGTGTAATATCTGGACAAGGAATTCATATGCATCGAGGGGTTCCAATCAACTCTTATAACCTAATGCATCAATCATAAGTACTTAAGTAATCATTTGTAAAATGCTGGGAGACTTAAAATGCTCCGGGGCTTGCCTCGCAGAAAAGAAGTGGGACGGTGGTCAGGACACTCTGGAAGCTCTTCAGGATTCTGCTCCTCGCCTTCGGGAGCTGCGACTTGAGGATTCTCCTGCTGGTCCCCTTCCTCTACTTCGTCGAATTCCAGCAACGTTATTTCTTCCTCCGATCCTAGATGCATGAATATGGCATAAGATATTGCGAATGCAAATATGTTAACAAGTGTGGTATGATGATACATGAAGAATGCATTCTTCCAAATATTCTTAATAGCATGTGGTTTAAGTAACAACAGGTGCATCGTGTTTACTGAGTAGGTGCATATCTCTTCTTAATTATGTAATTAATTATTTCAACAATGCATCTACTATTTTACAAACAGCAGCTACTTGTTTTACTCATTACTGGAGTTCTAATTATTCAAATGCAGTGATCCTGGACTTTCTAGAAAGTTTATAAAATTACCTACAACTCTTATTTAATTCACAAAAGCTAAATCACAACTTATCTTAGCCAAAACAGACAATCATATCAGTGTTGTTCAGAAATTCCAGAGAACAAGCAAATTCAGAAAAGCTAACTTTAAATAGTTGCAACTCCTAAACCGTTTGACCTATGGTCCTGAAATTTTAACACAAGACATATGATGAAGTTATCTACAACTTTGTTATTAACCATTTTTATAGAAAACATCATTTTTATCATGCAACTTATCAAACTACCGAATCTGTCCGGAAATTATTCCAATTCGCATTATAAAGTAACAATACTTCTACTTCATGTAATTATTCAAAGTTTGACAACACAAAGTCTATCAACAGTTTAAACATACTAAATACACTCAAGAAAACCTAATGGTGAAGTCCAAACTATTTCTTTAAATGCCTTTATTATTTTATTTAGATACTTAGGTTAAATAACCAACATATACTAGATGTACTTCATAAATTCTCAAAAATTTATAGTGCCTTACTAATGCTATCAAAAGACTACTGTAAAAGTTTTATGCCATTTTATCAAGTAAAACATTCTATGCAAAAATGACAAGGTAGAAAGGCTTAAAATAGCATAAATAGAAAACCGTAGTGAAAAGTGTCAAGCAACAGATTTTATATTTTTCTTAGCATCCCTATAGTACTAGGATAACCTCCAACAAATTTCATGAATATTGGATTCCTAAATAATTTGTAAAAATTCATACAAGGATTACCTATTTATAAAAGAAAAATCTATAACTACAAATCTATATATGTACTGATCCTCAAATTTTTATCAGAGCTCATACATGTCAAGAATAGATTACCATAAAAATTTCATAATTTTTGGAGCACAGGAACTCTAGATATAAAATAAACAAGTTTACATGAATTCCAAAACACCTTTCAAGTTTTATTTTAAATCTTCCAGAAACTTTACTACACTTGCTAATATCATATTTTTCTTAAACACTACACTTCACCCAGATCCTAACAAAATTTGAACCAACAAATTTGGATCTACACAACTCCACTTATAGATTTTCAAAGTTGTACATAAAACAGGAAATAAATGAACTGTCTTTCTGTACTGCTGTCACTGGCAAGCGGGACCCACTGGTCAGTGACCCCACACGTCAGCGAAACAATAACAGAGCAGGCGGCGCTGCACAAGCTTGCGCGGCCACGGCTCGTCGACGGCGAGTTTG